CCAAATTTCTGCTGCGTTTATATTAGAAGAAACTGGACGGGATGAGGAGGAAGAGAATGATGGCGGTGGAGGTATGGATGCAGATCGGGTTGATGCTTCCACTGATTCTCTAAACAATGACCGAAAGCAGTTGTTAATGGGTGATAAAAAGGAGAGAATGAAAAGAGAGAAGAAGAAGCAGCGTTTGTTAGAGGAAACAACAAAGGTTGATAGGCGTGGCGTTTGTTATTTGAGCCGAATTCCTCCTCATTTGGATCCTGCAAAGCTCCGTCATGCTCTATCACAGTATGGTGAAATCAACAGGATCTATCTTGTACCAAGTGATTGAACTTTTTTGCACTTTGATCGTCTTTTCATTTTTTGCTTGTGTTCATTATCTTGTACCAGCTGGCCTGGCCGTTCATTTTTTGCTTGTGTTCATTATGGCCTTCCCTTTCCACTTTTCTTTCTAAAAGGAAGAAAAAAAGCTTGTCATTCCACTGAAACAGAATCCTTTCATTCTCACTTTCCATTCTCCTTCTCCGTTTGATGTTTCGAGATAATCTGGTCGATTTGGGGTTAGCGAATCTGGTTCACTTTGCCGGAGGCCGAAGCTTGCGCTCGATCTGCATGACGATGAGGACGCGGAGCGCCAGATCGCGATTTCTGGGATCTATGACCTATGCATCTTGCATAATGAATCAGTCGAAGAACGCAAGCTTCTGAATCACTACACTTCATTGCCTGTTTTTAGGGTGTTTCCGTGTGTGTCTGTCATAACCGTTGTCACTGAACGGCCAGGCCAGCTGCGATTGGGATTTTAATAGTATCCCTCTGCTTCTTTCTGCTTCCAATAGCTAGTCTCATCCCGTTTTGTAATCTGATTTCTGGGGATTTCTTTTTGCAGCTAAGGGACGTTCCCGGCATATTGCGGTACAGACTAGAAGGCTTGATGTCGTTCTAGAATGAGGCTCTTGGTAAGAGAAAAGTTCAAGTTGAACTTTGAAGGCACTTGTTTGTAGAATAGTGTAGCTTTGTTTCATGAAATATGATCCAACAGACAAGGTAGAATCTTTCTTCCAAAAGGTTTCTGGTGTTATTTTTTCATTATGATTATGGAGATAGAGCTCGATCTAATAGGTTAACAACTTAACATGCATGTTGTTTCTCCCAAACAGGCAAAAATTGCTTAAGTGGCTGATCAAGCGGCTTCATGAGTCTCCAATGCTTGCAGTTTGAATTGACAGGTTAAATTGCAGTGCCCATTGAACACCCTTCAATCGCATCAGCATGAGATTTGCTGTAACCTTTTCTTTACTCCACGCCAAACTTGACATTGTATTTACTCTCCAAGATTGCCAAATTAATTATATGATTGGTCTGTTGAGGGAAATTCGGATGGATATCCTTGTGTAGCTTCATCACTTGCACTACTGTAGCAAGCATCCTTATGGTAATTATAGATGATTCACTCAACTATTTTTGTTTTTCTTTTGTTTGTTGAGTGCAGCAGTTTGGGGTTGTCTTGGTTCAGCTTTGGCGGACATTCTTTTTCTTTTCGCTTGGATGATTCCTCGTAATCCTGTTGTTTCTTACTTTGGCTAATATTAGTTTTCCATCCTTAGAAAATAAATACATAAAAAACACTGATATACTTGTTCTTCGAAATGTTCATGTACTACGCTGTGCAGAATGTATCGGCTCTATGGAGATTGGCTATCCGCAGTGTAAGCATTTCATAAAGATGGCGATGTGGTACCCAGAAGCCATCCATCAAATATCGAAATGAGTTACTGTCACTATGATGCATCGGTCATTTGGAGTTCTTTTTTACCAGGAATCATTTGTTCTTCCTCTGTCCTAGCTCGACTGAAGTTCTCAAGTAAAGCCTAGGGCTGATTAACAGAGTTTGCCATCCATGCTGTGATTTCCAGGAATTCTGTAATTGGGTAGTGAGAACATTCAAGGGTAAACAAGCTTCTGTAAAAATTGTGAGATTGATTTGGAATCTAACTGTAAGTATTCTGTGGAAGGAAAGGTGCAAGAGGTTATACAATGGATATTGGAGGTGTTTGTGATCGAATTAAGTACATGGTTTCTGAAAATGGATTCTAACTTTAATGGGTATTTCTTTGCTTTACTTATTCTTGTGTCACTATGCTACCATTACCACGTACATATATAAGTACATGGTTTCGGTTCGCAATGTTGGTCGAGTAGTTTGATAAGGTTTGGGGGTGTCGTTCATCCACCAAGATCACTCATCATTCATGTATCCAGAGAACTCGTCCGGCAGCAACATGTGTTGGCATGCACCTAAGCTTCCCACTTGTCTATGTTTTACAAAGCAAATAGGTTTGAGCTTAACCAACACCAAACACAAATCATGCAGAAACTTAAATGACAGAATGCAACAAACTAAATGAAAAGAAACATGAAATGGAATTCAATAACAAACTTTGCCTAAAGTACTTGTTGTGTAGTATAAATAGAAATAGTTTGTTCTCAAACTGAACAATGGGCAATGTACCAAAATAAGTGAAAATCCAAAAAAAATTAAACATAAGCATCACCACCAAAATGCTCAAGAACTCCGAAAACGCATACTTAACTAGTTCATCAAAATCCAAAAAAACTTAAAAATATGCATCTCCACGCATGACTGCCATGTCCTTGAGTATTTTTCCATGTCGTCGAGTGTTCATGAGCATGTCGATTCACTTTCTCCAACTTAGCATTTTTAGGCCCACCAACCAAGTCAAGAGTTAGCCTCATTCGATCCACATCGCCACATGGCTGTGTACAGAAGATGAAACCAAGTAAACATTTAAAAACAAAACTTGCCATTCAATTGTGAAACTAATATCATTACAGAACAAGATCCCTTACCCCAACATCATAGCGTGCCAGATTATCTGAGAACCTCATCCATAAGCAAACCCACATGCCAACATCAAATCTAATACAAATAGCTACTTCATAAGTTTATGTTAAAAAAAAAAATTCATAGTGATATCCAAGAATTGCGTTATCCCTTACTTGTTTTCTTGTGTAGGAACCCCATCTGGACTAATCACTTGAAAGCCACGGATGTTTGGCAGATCCTTTGTTGTACCCAATTCAAAGTACAACCTCCGAAATAAATCATATAAAAAATTCATCTGCAAAATCATCTAAAGATTACTCAATCGAAGAAGAAGGAATATAAAATATATGAATTATAAAACTACACTAGTTTGCTAACCATATGGCGTACGGTCTTTGCACGAAACTCATTGTTGTTTGCCCTAGGAGCAGAGTCAACCAAATGAACTTCTTCTAATTCCATCATCACCACAGCCAGGTACCAATGCTTACCATCCTTCAATGGTAGATAGATCTGCCAAGTATTGACATAACGATTATTACCATTTAGCAAAAAAATGGGAAAACATCTACACATTACTGATTGAATTGTTAATGAGTTACCTTATTGCATCCATAGGCATTGCGTAAGTAGCTGAATCGATAATCATTGAATACACTGTCAGCAGTATAGACATAATTCTCTAATCCTGCCTACAAGTTCAAATTTGGAATTTAATAAGTGAAAATCATTATGTATAAAGGACCAATCTAAAAAATTATTACTAGTGATCCATATTTGATTACCTGTATATCAGTAGGGAGAAAGCACGATTTGCTTTCAATTCTACGTTGCTTATCATACATGACAGAGAGGTTGAGATACCATGCATACATTGAAATGACCTTAAAAAACAGACAACATAATTATTTTTAATGGATATTTAAAACATATACAAAAAGTTAAAGACAGAATTTACCTCATCTTCTAGGTACTCGTTAGGCAGCAAGCTCAATAGTGAGCTACGAGTACAGGACTGGGAACCATTTTTTACTAGTATCTTTTCGGTAGCAAGATCTTCCACGAACATGTAATAGGCCAGTCCAACCTCTTCTGAAGTCAAATGCATGTTACTGGTGATAGGAAACTTCATTACAACCTGACACAAAAAGTCAAATACTATAAAATCTGATATGCTGCCTAATACTAAGCATTTATGTAACAGTACCACGACTACCTCAGATATGGTTGTCACATCAGGCTCGTCATCATCAATGATAATGACTTCAGAAATTGGTGTCGCATTGACGTCTCTGAACTCAAGCCTCCTCTTTGTAAGGTTGCGGGAACCACTCTGTCAATTTTTAGCAAAGGATAATAAAAAAAACTTGGTATAAAGTCTAATTAGTTATTTTTAATGTGGGTCACTACCACTGTATTATCATTACAGGATAAAAGAGATATACAAATCAAGGATCACTGTATTTGAACGAAACCTAAACAACATTAGAAAGTTAGCAAGAAAGCTAATGAGCGACAACCTAAGAAAACAAGACAATGACCCACCAAACTAGATGACAAAGCAATGAACAAAAAAAAACGGACGATGATAAGCCAAAAGCAATCAAACCATGAACATAAAAACAGAAAAACTAGATGACAAAACAATGAACAAACAAACCGACAATACTAATAGTTAGCAAAAACTAGGCAACCAGAAACAACCAAACCATGTTAAAAAAGCAGGAAACAGTATGATTAAAGGTGTGTAGAGCATAAAGGAAGAAAGAAAAAAAAAACTCTTCAACTTCTCAAACCTTGCGTTGTGAAGAATATTTCGTCATTTTTGCTCTACTTTCACCATCAATACCTTTAGCCAGCCTCTTGTCCCTAATTTCAATTGTCATACAAACAATTATCAGCAATAATAAACACAAATAAATCTGGGAAACGATGGATTAGAACTAACACAACAGGAGCAGAAGAGAATCGTGAAGGAGGTAAAATAGCAATGGCCATTACCCAATTTTTGGATCCATGGTTCGGTAGAACTTTCACTAAGAGGAGAACACGGTGGAAAAACTGCAAAACAAAATTTTATATAGGTTTGTGTAAAAGCCAGCAGCTAATCTAACCTCACAAAGACGAAACATGGAAAAAATTGAGAAATTGGATGATAACTATCTAACAACAGCAGAGGGAACCTTAGTCGCCTAACACAGATGGAAAGCAAGGTTGAGAATATCGCAGAAAAAAGAAGGCAAAAACACTTATAAAGAAGGCAAAATAATGGGGTATTCATCCAAATAAAGGAACTTCCTCTTTCTCTAACTAAACAGGCTTACTAATTAAATGATCTTTCCTTTTATTTTGCAACCATGCACCAGTTACCTTATACGCACCAATTACCTTATCAACATCATCATCATCGCACTTCTTCTGACCTTCATGCTAGCTCATGGCGCTGATCTCCACCCCACCACTCTGGTTGGTACCTTGCTAACAGAAACGTCTTCTGCTATGGCTCTGTATTAATTCGATTCTGACTGCAGGGAGATGGTGACGAGAGCTTGGGAGAGAGATGCGCAGAGAGCGTTGGAGAAGAAGGTGAAGAGTGCTTGACCAGAAGAACCCTCCAGGCCCATCTTGATTACATCTACACACAACCTCATCCACCCCACCTCCCCTTCCCCTAGCCAGCCCCGATATTCCAATTATCTGTGCTTTTCTTTCTTTCTTTCTCCCCTTTCAAGCAAAAGGAAGAGCATGATTGATTGCACCCAAGTTATATAGTTAACAATAAGAGGAGAAAGTATTTTCAATTAGCACATGGCAAGACATGGATGTTCATGATTAGCTCGAGGTCTGCAACAAAAGTGCCTCTGCTAATGATGAATTCCCACAGACTTGAGGGAGAAAGCTGAAAAAATTCTTCTTACACAAATCCTCTGCTAACTTTGTGTGGCTTCCATCAATTTTACAACTGCACGCCTAGTCTCCTAACAAACTAGCTCGTAGCTAGCTAGCTAACGGCAGCTGTGTCATCCTGATCTTTCTATTCTGATCCAAGCAAAGCAATCTCCACAAACTGCGGTATGATACACAATCCTACATGCCACACCAGTCGTCTAGATGAAGAAACGGGGAATGCAGCATTCACATGTTCGAAACCATAAAAATGAAATGGCATAGAAATGAAACCTTGAGCTTGGATCATGGACTAAAAATCAAGGAATGTAGACGAGAGAAAGAGAGAGAGAGGTACATACAAATGCTACTTGGTTTTATCTTCATTAGCAATAACGTGGTTTCATATCAATAGATGAGTTCCCAATCACAACTTTTTCAAGCAGGCAACATCACCCTGGCGCCGCCCACAACATGTAAATACAATGTCAGGCAAATGGTAACAATAACAGAAGACTTAGCACCTACATATCGAACAACCTGAAACCCTCTTTCTACTACCCCATCATGAACCACATCACCACCTCTCTTCAAACCATCCCACAACTTCCACAACTAGATACGAGAAATTTCTTCTGGGATTCAAAAGAGAGAGGGAAAAGATTGGGAAAAATCAAACCTTTCGGGGCAGGTGGCGGCGGCGGAGCTTAGCAATCGACTCCATTGTCGCCAAATACACCTCCGATTGCAATCCCGACCACTGTTCCGGTCGATATCGACGAGTTGGAGGGAGGAGAGGTTCGACGATGGTGAACATGAGAGGAGAGGGTTGGACGATGGGTGCTGAATTTGTTTTTTTATGGGTATGGCGTATGGGTGGGGAAGTTCATGTTGAAATGCTAGAGATGTTTTTATTTTCTTATTTGAGCCTGTTATAGATGTTGAAGTGACGATATCAAGTTTTGGGATGGTTTTTGTTTTTGATTGAAATGTTTTGAATGTGTAAGTTATGATTAAAAGAAATTAGGTATTGTACCATGAAAATAAATGAAATAATTTGTTGGGGGATTAAAGTAAACGTATGAAAATGTAAAAGAATCAACTAAACAATTTTAATTTGTAAATTATAAATAAATTTATTATATTCAATACAGGCCATCAGATTAAATCAACGGTGCAAAGATCTGGAGCATGCTATGCGTCTGGACCATACGAGTCTGGACCATGCGTCTGGACCATACGAGTGTGACCCATATATATATATTTATATATACATATATATCTCTATCTAGACCATGAATTAAATCGAGATTGGGGTATAACACTATTCCCTAACCTCTAATGGATAAACCCCAGGCACCGATTTTCTAAACCCCAACCCGAAGTATGATTTAATGAAAAACAAAAATTGACCGTTGAGATCGGTCGGAGCTCATCTAACTACATCTAACGGCTAGATCACCTGACGTATACTATACACCTGGCGTACACCAGTCATCACCATATATATATATATTGGAGACAAATATTTATGTCTCTTTAGAGTTCTTTAGAAGCAAATATAGATGACTCGATAACATAAATATTTGTCTATAATTCCATTATTAGAGCTAGATATTATTTGCATCTATATTTGTCTCCAAAAGGAATCCGAGACGGAGGCAAATGATGCAAATATCATATTTGCATCCAAATACATATAGAAGCAAATAAGTAACATTCAGACACAAATAACCTCTGTCTCCAAAATCAAGTTTTCTTGCAGTGAATTAATTGTTTTCTAGTTCTATTAGTTTTTTATTGTCTTTAAATAGCTCTCAATTTCACGTTGTAAAGAATCAAGTAGAGTTGAATGAATTGAATACAAACCGTGTGTTTGAGTTCTTGAGTTGTGTCTCTAGAGTTTACCTATTGTTTTAGCTACGCGAGGATTCCATAGCTAATTCAAGACCCTTGTTCAAGCTATTCTGTGGAGGATTCCAAAATCATTTAGCAAGTGCTCTTATCAATCGATTAACCACTTCGATTGTGGTGAGAAATTTACCTTTCCATCAATTATCGTTTGATTGTTTGTGTGAGCTGCGTATTCTGATCAAAAGCACCCCTTGGTGCTTTATTTGTTTTAGCGAGTCAGCGGCACCCGAAGAAGCTTTTTTTTTTGGACCCTTGATTACTCTTCTGGCCTAGGATTACGATGTTGACTTCGAGGGTATCACTGACTAGACTGCAAAGTGTGGTGCCACACCCTTGGGCATCACTTCATTGCGTGGCCAGGGCTTGGTTGTGAAGGTGGACGATTACTAGTGGATCGAGGGCCTTAGCCTACCTCCCGGCACTCCTTCTGATAGCGATGACTCTGATGATAGTGATGAGGTGGCTGCTGTCGAGCCTGAGTAGCCCTTTTCCTTGTTGGAGGAACGACCTCCACGACGGAGACCGGGGCGAGGCGAGTCCTCCTCCGGTCCTTCTATTCCATTGATTGAGTTCTTCACCTCCCATTTCCAGCAGCTGACCCTCCAGAACCAGTAGATCCATACTCAGCAGCTCCAGTTCCAGGAGCAGTTTTGGTCTCATCAAGCACAGTTCTCCATTTTTCTCGACCAGTTTGATGCCCGCATGAATCGCCTTGAGTTTGAGCAGGGCGTGCTTTGCACCCATATCGAGCGTGAGCATGACTGCAGTTGCCGAATGCAGGAGATTCAACACTACTTGGTTCAGCAGGTGTCGGCAGAGCCTCCAGCTTAGCGAACCCCGTGGGTTGATTCCCCACCACCACCTCCCCCACCGGGCGATGATGACTTCATGGCGGACATCGACTTCAACATCGAAGCTGACGAGTAGGATGTACTCGCAAACTACTTCCATGTGTTTTTGTTTTTATCTTTGTGTTTCGCTCCATTTGTGTGGGAGCGTGAACTGAGTCGTTGTGTCTTTTTAGTTTTCTTTTATTTTAAGACCATTTGGGTGGTAACTGTTTCTAACACTCACATGATCTATTGGTTGTTTTTGTCAGCCCTTCTTGCAGCGACTAGTCCCCTTTCCAGTTTGCCCCGATGACTAGTCCGCGTTCCAGTCCCCATGCAGTCCATTTTTCCGGTAACATCGTTCCCCTTATCCTTCCCTCTTCTCCATTGAGGGCAATGTTGATCTTAAGTGTGTGAGGGATGTTTCTCTTTGACTGCTTAGATGAGTTGTGTGCTTGGAGCCTAGTCCACTGTCCAAATTTTACGATTGGAGGGCTCCAAATACGTGTTCTTTGCAATTGCCTGCTTAGTATGCTTTGAATTGAAAGTCTTTATAGTGTTATGAAACCTAGGGAGGTAGTTGTAGCTAGAGGATTCTTAAGTATAAGAAAATGAACGAGCACCTGATACGAAGAGTCTTTGGTTGTTGTGTTGTATTAGTCTCTTCGGCCATGAATTTTGTATCCTAGGTCTACTACTTGGCATGATCCTGGCTTGAGTCTAGTACTCGCATTGAGAAAAATAGGGGATGTCTTAGAAAACTGGTTGACCTCGTAAGCTGCTAAATGACCTAGGAAGTCCTCTACCGACGATAAGGGTTGCATGTTGTTGTAAAGGTCAAGAGAGTTGCATGGGTTTGAATTAGGTTTGCTTGGGGAAAAGCAAACGGTTTAGTGTAGGAGAATTTGATAACACCATATTTGCACATGTTTTCCCCCGAAATTACTAATCATTTTAGTTGGGTTTGTTGTGCTCCTTGGCCTATTTTACGCTAGCTTGTGTTTATGTGTGTGTTCAGGTCCTAGTACGTAAAAAGGAGGCTTAGAAGTGGATTTCAGGGCAAATTGGAGACTTTGGGCGAAAGCACCATCACTAGGCAGATTACCCGGCCTGGGGTCTTGGTTACCCGTCTGGGTATTTCGAAAGCGAACCCGCGAATACAAACAGGAGCTAATCCTCGGGGTGTTGATCATAATCCACGGTCGGTTATTTATCTAGCCGAACCGGGTAAATCGAGCAAGAAGACAAAAGTGATGCACTGCGTTTTGGAGATCCCTGGGGTCTGAGGAGAAATACTCGCCCGGGGAATAGACCCGGGGAGCCTAAGCTGCAGGGGTTTTAAAGGAATTGCTGGGTTCCTGGCTATCTATCTGGTTTTTGAAGTTCAGAAACAGATAGAGAGGCCCTAGAGAGAGAAAGTGATGAAGAACAACCTTGGGAATAGATTGGAGCGATTTGAAGACATTGGAGCTCCATCTTTCACCCTTGAAGTGTCGATTTCCAGCCTAGAGCATATTTTCATTTGTCACATCATAATTTCTCTTCCAAGCTTGGTGTTTTCTCCTCTCCATGGAGTAAACTCCCATTTCATATGGGTATGGAGAAGCCTAGTTTTGTATGTTAGGAATGGTTGTATGAACCCTGTTTACGAATGATTGATTCAATATATTCAATTGAGACATTAACTAATAGGGTTAATATATTTGTATGGCCTGAACTTTGACCAAAATAAACATCATGGCCAATCTTTTCAATCTATAACATCCTGGCCCAAACTATACATCAAAATAACTAAATTGGCCAAACCTGACGATTGACCGTTAACTTGGACGGTCAAACGTGTTGACTAACAGTCAACGTGCTACATGGCAGAGCAGGCCAATGTTGTGGAGTTACATCGAACGATCCTGGAACAACAGAATGCCACGATCCAAGCCCAGTTCGACAATTTGAATCAGCAGCTGGCCGAATTGCGATCCACGGTGAACGTCCCTGTTATCCAGAGGAACGTTGTAGGGTGATAGACCGTCATTTACACATGTTTTTACCCTCATACTTACACCGTTTGAGGTGTTGATTCTCGTGTTTTAGGCCGATTTCACGCTAGGTTGTGCTTGTTTGTGTTATTTCAGGTCCTAGTACGTGAATGAAGGCTTAGGAGCGAGTCTGGGGTCGATTGGACGAAGAACGGACGAATGGCGAG